TGTACACACACAGGCACACATGCATGACACGTCGAAACAAATAGAAAGGTATGCGGAAGAGAAAAAAAAAAGAGAAGCATATGATAACAACTTTCGTGCGTGCGTATGTACGTATTAATCGTGAAAAAGTGAGACGCGTCTTGGTTGTTATTAACAAGAGAAAATTATACGAGCAAAGAGAAAAAGACGAAAAAAAAAAGAAAAAAAAGAAAGAGAATACGACCGCGTATTTACGATATAAGGAATACTTGACTCTAACAAATTTTGTTTTACATTGTCCCAATTAATAAACAGAATGTGCATGTGCCTGTGTCCTTTGCTTCTATACGATGCCCTTCGATATTTAACGCTTCTCACAAAACCTCGTAGTGAAATTTTTACCGCTTTGCATTTTGCTCCGGCTGCGATCCGACGATCATTGTTAATTTTTACATCTCTTACCACTCTTCTCTTCTACTTCTTCTTCTTCTTTTGTTCTCATTTTTTTTTTTTTTTTTATGTTTTCTTCCTTACTCTGTCTGAGATTGTGCACTCTTCATTGGAAAAAAACAAAAAAAGATCGATTTTTTGAACCTTTGATCATGAACTCTGTCATGTAACAAAAAGAGAAATTAACACGTGTTAATTTGCTGCAACCACGATGGTAAATGTAATTAATTGTTGGATCGTTACGCCATCTTGTAATACATACATAGCGAAGATATTTTTTAAGTCGTGATTGGCATACAAACCATAAATTTCGCTGGTGTTTTTACTTTTTTCTTTTTTTCTTGAATTTAATTAAGCTCCTTCTTTATCTATTCCTATAGCTAACACCTACCGATTGTACTCTTGCCTTGCTCTCGGAAGAAGAAGCTACAAATAACGATATTAAACTAATTTTCAAGCTTTTACTTTCTTCTTTTAATTAATACCTGCGTTATCGTGGATCTGCACAGCGATCGATGCCAATTGCAGTATATATTTTCAAGTATCGTTTAACACATTTACCGCGTAAGTTGTACCTCACACTCGATCGATTTCTTCAGATTCAGTAGATCGTTCCACGTTCAACGCGGCAGAGTAGATCGATTGTAAAAGGTGTTCGCGTTAGAGTTAGTCGTAATTTTCAAGATAGAAACAATCATGTACATACGTTAAATTACTGTAATTAGCACCGTTGGTCACCGGTGACCGATGAGACGCGAGTTTGAAAGATCTGTGTCTGAAAATTGGTTCATCGAAGTCTGCGGTGAATGTGTTGGAAAAAAGACAAAATTGAAATAAAACCGAGTTAATCAATAATTAATTCAGTCTGTTCTGAAATTTGTGGTAAAATCAAACTAAGATAATGTAACACTTGTAAAACTTGAATTACATTTTTGGATATACCTTTATTTAAAAAGGAGATCGATCGTAAAGTAATTGGTATATTTCATTTTATTTCTTTGCGTGTACGGATATATTCGGTTTTCTGTAAAAGAAGAAAAATAAGGATACGTGTTCGGAGAGCTTGGCAAGATGCAATATTGGTGTGAATGATAACGCAAAAGATCGTTTAATCAAATATTTCCGAATAATAAATGACATTTGAATCGGCATATCAGGTAACTTCAATGAATTTGACAAGATTTCCTCTGCCTTTCAGGGGACATCAGGATTAGACGGCATGAAGGTGAGCAATCTTCGGGGAGACCCGTTTAACCATACATTATATTTATGATTTTCGGATCCTCGATTACTACGCTCACACTACGATTTCATCGTTCAGGCATAGATTAAGCTGGTTGCAAACTTAACGGTATTGTTTAAACTTATACGTATAATGTACAATATTCGTTATATTTCTTCGTGCTTACAGGGTGCACAAGGAGAACCAGGCACAAAGGGAGAAAGAGGGGACCCTGGCCTACCTGTAAGTATTCATTATGAGAAATTCCAGGTAGCGCACAGACGTCTTCTTTCAACGTCTCTCAGGGACGTTCGGGTGAAAACTCGAGGACGTCGAAAAGACGTCTCGACGACGTCCACTGTTGCAAATCGGGCGTAAAGACAGAGCAAAACTGTATTTCATTTGAAAAGTGAACGTAGGATTATTGAAGATTGTGATTTTTTTTTTATATCGGTTTCTTCGCAAATTCGAAATTATACTATGAACATTTTCTTTACAATTGTCGTTTCAATTTTAGATTAAAGACAAATTCAGAACTATAGGCACTGTGCGCTGACTTTAGAGAATCTTGAAAACCTCTTAAATTCTTCGCAAGCCCGAAATATGTAAAAGAAAAACTGAACTATTTAATTTTAAAAAATTCAGAAATTTTATTTACCATTGTCGTTTCAATTTCACATTAAACAAGGCACTGTACGGTTTAAAAACGTCTCCAAGACCGCAATTAAAGCGTCCCAAATCGTACATCTTCGAGACGTTCAAATCCAAAATGGAGGTGCAGTAACAAAGAACACCTCTAAGACGTCCTGTGCTATCTGGAATTCACCGCTGCAAAATACATTCGGACGATTTATCGTTATCCAATAATTGTCATTAATCAATACCGGGCTGATATTACGACAATACTTTTACCGATTGTCAGTCCCGAACAATTTATTCGGTGAAAATTGCATTTCGCGTGGAATCGAAGTCGTTCAATTCCTCCCCCTTCCCGTTTCATTAATTAACGGATCCGAAATTCAACGTTCCCTCGTCGATTACCGTCGATGTAACAGTTTAAACGTCTAGAACAATATTTCATCCGGTTTGAAACTCGATTACACTGTTGTCTCGACAACACCAACGGCACATTCTGTTTATCCCCAGGGTACCGATGGAATTCCTGGCGCGGAGGTACAGTGGCATTCGATTATCGCTCGCCCCTCGGTGTGACTGCGACAAAGTCTAACCAGCCCGGGGTAACGACGATACATCTGCCTGATCTACCCCGGGGACTGTCCCAAAACTCGTCTTTTTACTCCCTTTGCACGAAAGAAAAAAAAAAGAAAAAGAAAACGAAAGAAAAGAAAGAAAAAAAGGAGGGGCTGAAATTACATTCTGCGCCTTTCTCCCTCTTTACACCAACGATATTTTTTGCACGATCTGTTTTCGTTCATCCTGCGAACCTTTGCCAGAAGCTTGTTTTCGAGAAAGTAACTCTGAAATACGGGGGAAAGCACTTGTTACTTTTAACCAGATATTTTTTTTTTTTTTTTTTTTGATTTCCTACCCGATCGTATCGTTTCGAGTGGAACGTAATGCTTGAAAAATGAGAAATCTTTCTGATACGACACACTTAAATTTAGATTTCAATTGCGATCTCCAATTGGATTACGAAATATGCAACTCTACATCTTGGCATTGTATCAGAAAATTTGAAGTAATTACAGTCATTTGAGAAAAAAGAAATATGTACTGATATGAAGTAATTTTTGTATCCATTAGTAGCCTGAAAGAAATTGAACTTTTTCTTCTGTTCGTAGGATAGTGTTAAGTTTTGAGCTTTCATTTTTCTTTTTTTTTTTCAATTTTCTTGGGACGATATGAGACTGTGTATCTGTGTACGCAGTGTTCGAGACGGTGTTGTTGCTAATGTGAAATTTACAGTTGCGTTGCGAATTGTCAATGTTGACATTTTGAGTTTACAATGGAGAATGAAAAAAATTGATCGTTAACGAAGGAATCGCGTGAAGTGTTATGCTCGGATTTTAATCGACAGATGGAGGATGGAAAAATAGTCGGACTCGTATTTAACAGTGATACGTGAAGCGAAAATTTTTCACCTAAAATCGACAGGAATTATAGTTACAGGATCGTAACGGTGGGTTTTTGTAACTCGAATTTTCGACGAATCAAAATTTTCTTCTCTTCTGCTTCCTACAAATTTCACTTCCGTTAAAAGTATTGAAATATTTCGCGTTACAATCTCATATTGCGCACATTGCATTCTCGCGAAATAATGAAATCAGAAGCATTTCATCCGCTGCAAACTGGACGTGCGTCGAATATTTTCCGTTTTCCTATCGATTAACGAAATTTCGTTAAAATCCGCGAATAACTGTTTACACGGCTTCCACGTGTGGCTGTAAGTAACACACGATAACGTCAGAATACTCGACATTATCGGCGAAAAGATGTAATCGAACGAGCATGGGAAAAATGCCCCTAAATCGGATTGAACTTTCGACATGTCGATCGATTGGCCTCTCGAAGTACACCCTTTCTGTCAAGTTTCAGCTCCCTGTCCCTATTGTTAGGGCAATTATAGAGTGAAACGTGATTTACAGTTTAAACTCGATTATTTTATACTATCGCGTGGAAAATTGTGAAACGAATGAAAGATACTGTGACCCAGAGCCGCGTTAGACGATATATAGCGTTTCTATATGAAGGGATTGAAATTATAGTGGTGTAAGTCACATTTCCGAAAATTTCGACCCAAGTCTCAGAATATTTCCGAAAATTTCGACCTGAGTCTCGCAATATTTTTGTTCTCTTCGAAATATCAATAAATGCCACTGCAAAACTATATCCGGAGTTGATTGATATTAAATTTCAAGAAGTTTTGCTGTTTTCTTTAGACAAACTTTTGCCACCCACGGCAAAACTTGCGCGATTTTCTTGCCAGTGAACGTGTGAAGACAAGTTCTGGTAACATTGGATACGATACAGTAGCAAATTTGATGCTATTTATTCGATCATTTCTAATGACATTCTCTGTTTCTCGAAATAAGAAAATTGTGAGTTAGACTTATCGACCGATATGTCATAAATTTAATTTGATTTATTATTATTTATTGTTAAATCTCAATAATCGTTTCTTAATTAGGAGCATTTCTGCCATACCTGTCCGACTATAGATTTTACACAAACGCTTAACTGTACAGATACGTAGAGTATCTAACACGAAATCTGCTAATATCCACAATTTGTTGCAAGCTAATTCTTCCAAAAAGTAACTTCCACCTTTCAACGCGCATTCACACTAACGACGAACAATTCTATTTCGTTGCTTCACGGTAACTATAACGAAACCTACGCATGAAAGTAACTACATCGAAAATTTGGTCGTAACAGTAAACAAGTAACTAATCGAATTTCAATCTCGAAGAGAGGGAGAAGCGCATACATATATCCTCTCCACTTTTACACTCGTGTTCTCGAGGAATGTCGTTGAATAGTGAATGCAAACACCGATCGGCCAAATTGTGACACAAAACGCGAAACGGGGAGGGCCAAAAGTGACAAAAAAAAAAAAGGGGGCTAACATTCTTAGCTTACGTTTGCTTGCTTCTTCTTCTTCTTCTTCCAACTAATTCCACGCATTCGTGATCGTAGTCACGTGTTATGCATTTGAGAGAGAGAGAGAGAGAGAGAGAGAGAGAGAGAGAGAGCAACTTTCAATATCGTGCATGTAGAAAAAGAAACGAAGAGAGGCACGACCGTCACTTAACGAATAAATTCTTTGACGTACCAATTCCAGGGACCGAAGGGAGAGAAAGGTGCTAAAGGCGAATCTGTGAGTATTGATGTAATTCGACTATCAGTTTTAAATAATTGGGAAAGAAAAATGATAACGTTTGTCGAGCAGATGTTTTGCTCGGAAATAGTACGATGTCTAATTCCTCGTCCCAGATTGAAAATTGCGAAATTATAAAAAAAAAAAAAAAAAAAAAAAAAAAAAAAAAAATTACTGTTTAATTCACTAATATATTATCATTACCACCGTCATTAATCACGATCAGAAGTATCATCGTCGTAAATGGTTAATATCGTCACTAATTACATTAAGTCACTGATAAGACTAATTAATACCATTTAGTATTAGAATGTCCTGGTATTAGACTGAATCCATAGATATTTCTCTAGCTAATGTGTCGTCACACGAAAGATCTGTTAAGATCGATTTAACACTCACTGACAATATATATATATAATTAAACATTTGTTTGTACAAAGTGTGATTAACCATTGATAAGAAGTAATACGAAATTAGCAAGGAATTGCACGGCAGTTTAAATACGATACCCACCATTTTAACGCACCAAGCATGTG